TTTTTTTTAAAAAAAAACCCCAGGGGAAAATTAAAAAAAAATTTTTTAAAAATTTAAAAATTTAATTTTTTTTTAAAAAAATTTTTTTTTTAACCGAAAAATTTTTTAAAAAAAAAAAAAATTTTTTTTTTTTTTTTAAAAAAAATTTTTTTTAAAAATTTTTTTGGGGGGGGTTTTTTTTTTCCCCCCTTTTTTAAAATTTTTAAAAAGGAAAAAAAAAAATTTTTAAAGGGCAAAAAAAAAAAAATTTAAAAAGGCCCCCCCCCCCAAAAAACCCCAAAGGCCCGGGGGGTTTTTTTTTTTTTTTAAAATTTCCAAATTAAAAAAAATTTTTTTTTTTAAAAATTTTTTTTTTTTTTTTTTTAAAAAAAAGGGGCCCCCTTTTTCCCCCCCTTTTAAACCCCTTTTAAACCCCCAAATTTTCCTTTTTTAAAAGGGGGGTTTTGGCCCCCCCCCGGGGAAAAAGGGTTTTTTTTTTTCCTTTTCCCCTTTTTTTGGGTTTTTCCCTTTTTTTTTTCCGGTTTACGACCCCCGGGGAAAGGGGGGGAAAATTTTTTCCCCCCCCCCCCCCCCCTTTTTTTTTTTTTTTTTTTCATTTTTTTTTTTTTTTTCCCCCCGGGGGGTTTTTTTTTTTAACCCCCTTTTTTTTTTTTTAAAAAAAAAAAAAAATTTTTGTTTTGTTTTTTTAAATTTTGGGGGAAAAAAAACCCCCCGGGACAAAATTCCCCCCGGGAAATTTTTTTTTTTTTTCCGGTCCCCCCAAAAAGGGGGGGGGGTTTTTTTTTTTTAAAAGTGGGTTTTAAAAAATTTTTTTGAAAATTTTAAAAAAAAAAAAAAAAAAAAAAAAAAAAAAAAAGGGGGGGGGGCCAATAATTTTTTTGGAAAAAACAAATAAAAAAAAAAAAAAAATTTTTAAAAATTTTTTTAAAAATTTTTTTAAGAAAAATTTTTTTTTTTTGGGGGCCATTTCTCTTGATATTTTTTTTTCCCCCCCAAATTTTTAAATTTTTTATTTTCTTAAGAACATTTGGAAAAAGCAAAAATAAATCAGTTAACATTTTCCTTAAGGGGGAAATTTTAGAAAAATATGGGTTCTGAAAAATTTTTAAATTTCAAAAGGGGCGTTTTCTAAGTTTTATTTTGATTTTTAGGGGTTAAATTTAAAAAACAAATTTACTGTAAGTTTTTTAGTACAAATATATTTTTTACTATTAAAGCAAATTACATTTAAATAAAAATGTAGTACCCCTAAAAAAAAAAAAATTTATTCTTTTGATTTAAAAAAGTTTCCCGATTTTTTAAAAAAATTTTTTTTTCAAGGGGTTTGATATTTATTCCCCATCTTTAAAAGTAAGTTTTGTTTTTGGGTTTTATTGCAGCTCTAGCGTCTTTATTTTTTATTTGGGGGTTCAAAAAATTGCTGGATTTAGTATGATTTAACGTATTTTTAAATTAAAAAACATCCGTTTTTCCTTTTTCTGATTAACTATGTCGATCATTTTGTGTGTGTGGGGGGCTCGGGGGTGCCTGCGGCCGTGCGGCGCCGGGGTGTGGGGGAGAGTATCCAAATTTTAAAAACACTTTTACAACCCAAAAAAAATAATTTTTGGGAAACCCGAACCCGGGGCATTCATTTTTTTTTTATTGGTAAATTTTTTTCGGGGGAACCCCAAGGGAAAAAATGATTTGTATTTATAACTGATTACGGAGTCTCCTTTTTTTAAAATTTTAGTTTTTTAAAAGGGATTATCAATACTTTTGTAGGGAAATAACCTTTTTTCGAGTTAAAAGTCCTTTAAAAAAATTTAAAAATACCGCGATTTAGGGGTTCAGCGGAAGGGAATGGCATTTTTTTTCCAAATTAAAATGAGGGTTTCGACTTAAAAGAGGTTCGAGTTATAGAGATCCCTTCTGTAATTGGGAAAAAAAAAATCTTCCAAAAGAAAATTTTTTTAAATCCCCGCTTCAAGATTTTTTTTCACTCGAAAAAAAATATATTTTATATTGAACATATCATTCAAACTAGCTTTTATAGTCCAAGGGTCTGTTTTAGTTTTAAACTAGACGGCTTTCCCAAAATTAAAAGAATCAAAAACTAAATATCGCTCTTATTATAGAACCGGTTTTTTAAATTTTACTCCCTTTTAACTACTTTTAATTTTTGGGTTTGAAAATTAGTCGTTCTCAATTTCGTTTCCGCAAACCAAAAAAGTTTCCAAAAACCCTCCTTTCTAAGGGAGAGGCCTATGTCCAGCATGACTATTTTAGGCTGTTTTAAAGGAAAGTTTATGATAACGAAAGTTTTTAGCGCAGCTAATTAAATTTTAAAAACCAAAAAAATTTTACTAACATCATTACTGGAAATTTTTAGTTTTGTGTAGGAAAATTTTTTAAAATTTAACCCCGTTTTTTGTTCGTTTTAAATATAAATTTTTAAAATAATAACCTTTTTAAAAAAACCGGTCCGTCAGTGGCTCGCGAGAATTATACCACTTATCCCCCCTTATTTAAAAACAACAGAAAAAAATTTTTAAAAGGCCTGTTGGAATGGGGCCCAAAAAAAAACCGTTTTTATAAAATTTGTTGTTAAAAAAAACCGGCCCCAGAATACTTGCCGGAAAAATTTTCCAATTTCTATAAAACGCAAAAAAAAGTAGGGGTAAAAGGGGGACTTTTTTATTAAAAATTCCCCTTTTTTTTAATTTTTTTTACGGAACCCCAAAAAAACATTTAAAATTTTTAAAAATTTAACAACGGGTTCCAAATTAATTTTGGCAAACACGGCAAAATTTTGGGGTTTAAAGTTTTTTTTTTTAAAATTTTCCTTTTTTATAAAACCCCCAATTAAAAAAAGATATTTTTTCCCCAAACGGAAAAAAAATTTTTAATTAATTTTTAACAAAATGCCCGGGAAATTGTTTTTATTTTCCTTTTTTGGTTGGAATAGAGAAAAAAAAAAAGGAAAAAAAAAAAAAAAAAAAGGGAAAACTTAAAGGGGAATTTATTATGTATGCCCCCCCCCCCCAAATTCCTCAACCCCTAAAAAACAAATCCCTTTTCCTTTAAATTTTTCAAAAAAACAAACAAAAAAAAATTTCTTTCCCCTTTTTAAAATGGGCCCCGGGAAAAAAGTTGATTTTTCAAAAAAATCTTCAACTTTTAAACAAAACAAATTTTGTTTAAATTTAACCTTTTTTTTGTCGGAAAGTTGGTATCCAAAACCCTTTGGGTTGGGTTATGTAATTGGGCCCCCAACCAAAAAAGAAAATACGGGTTTTCCCGGGAAAACCCTACCTAAAAACCCGGGGTTTCCCCCAAAAGGGAAAACCCTTTGGTAAAAATTATCTATAAACCCTTGTAAAATTTCCCAAAATAAAATCGCAAAATAAAGTTCCAAAAAAAAATAAAATTAAAGTTTTAATAAAAAATTTTTTTATTAAAATTATTTAAGACTAAATTTACGATGAGACACCTTTTTAATAACGGGCCTAAACTAGCCGAATACCCCGGGTTAAAACCCTTTGGTTTTCAAATGATTAACGAAAATTATAGTGAACCGTTGGATTTTTTAAACTTTTCTACGAGAATACCTTTTTTTGGGGATTGAGAGTACCAAAAACGGAATTTTTTTTTACAAAAAAATTTTCCTTAAACCCTCCCAAAGTTTTTTTTTTCATTTCACTATAACTAAAATGTTTTTAGGAATTTTCACATCAAACACCTTTTTAAAAGTCCCACTGCTGGAAATAAGCTTTCCTTTGGGAAAAAAGGTTGTGGAATAAAATTTTTTTAAAAGTCATTCATAGCACAAATTACATACACCTTTTTTTTTTAAAATGTTTTATTGCCAAAATGTGCAAAATGAAAATGGGAATTTCGCTAACATCATCTCCTACATGAGATGAAGTTTGATAGTAGTTCACCATACAGTTAAACATAGTATTATAATTATCATAATCAACTTGCAAGATTTTTAGGGGTCTGTTGGTGCACCAGGGACTTCCTTTCTAGGTATACCTGGTTCCCGGCTATTAGTACCCGAGACGGCTTGCGGTTTTAGTCGGTTCGTGTCCGACATGCCACCGATAGTGGTATCCGAGGGGATTTCCGCACGGAAAAAAAAAAGAAAAGGGGTCTGTTGTTGTATCATATACTGTAAGAGCAGTTTCGCACTCCGTCCGATCCGAATCCGTTCAAATACGGATCTAAAAAACTCGAACATAAGTCTTATTATTATCTTAGATTATGATCTATAATTGTGAATTTAAAAGGCTGACTGACTGAATTCATATATTGTTTAAGCACTATTGCGATCTCCGAATCTAAGCCAAGCAATTTCACCTTTTTAACGTACGTCATTTTACGCGGAGCCACAGCAGAGCGTTGACGTCGTTGATCATGAGTCCTTTCGATCGACGTCAACTTCTAGCAATGCTATTGTACGTAAGAAACGGAACGACATAGAAGAAGTAAGAATTCTGGGATCTTGGGTGCCCTTCAAACAAATAATAGTATGGCTACTTTGGTCCCTCAATAATTATTGACGGACAGATTGATTAAAAGTAATTATCCCAGATATGGATATACACGGATAACGGAAGTCGGATTTAGTGCGTAAGCTACCATAGCTACCGTACCCTTCCTCAAGTCCATTCATGGGCGGCCGGTAGTCGCTTTCTATCAAGTGACCCGTCTGCAGGTTTGCTCCCTCTTCCTTAAAAAAAAATAGAAATAGTTCTACGACTACTTTAGACCTTATTTTCACGAATCCTGATCGGAACATAGTGCGCAACCGCTCCAATAGGTACACAGTTAAAACTAAACAGTGTGTGCAGTTTATGACAACAAATAATTTAAAAAAAGATGACCCATCATTTGTTAAAATCTTGTATGATGGCCATTGAGCTCTTAGTGCACAGGTTTCATAATTTATAATTAAGAAATATTATCGAATACTTAACATTTAGGGGGTTTAATAATGGTTTATATTATTATTACAGGTCAGTGCCTGGTGTGTTTGGGCATCGTCAGAATGAAAATCTACCTGTGATAAAGCGCATGTTACTGTCTGGACTCCAGTCCAACTCTGAAATTCTTCGCACTCAAGCTGTAAAAGCTGTTGGTGCGTTCATACTTCTACATGACAAGGAGCCTGCCATACAAAACATTTCACTGAATATACTTATTCCATTGATGCAGGTTGGTTTATTTGATTCTCCAAAAGTATTTCTTTTTAGCACATTACTCATACTCATAGTTAATCCAATGATTAAAGTAGGGTTGCTGCCATCACATGGTATTGTACTGCCATGATCCTCCCTCTATCAGAAGTTGCTGAGGAAGTTAAATACTACAAAAAAAGTTTCAATGTTAAACTATTGTTTTATATGCAACAATGATTTTTGTCGCACATGTAATGTAAATCTTCTTAAAGTCAAATTATATTAGCACTATCAAGAAAGATTAAAAAAAATTACAAATTAACTGCATCTGGTTCTGCTTAGCAATATCTGCTAGTTCTTGGTATCAATGTCCCTGTCTCACTAAATAAAAGTTCCTCCACAACTGCTGTAAACTACGGAAACCACACACCTAAATGAAAGTTTGGTGTTTAGCAAGTTTTCTTCACCATGTACTACTATTTATTATATTCTTTTACTCTTGTTTCCCTGTCCCTGAAACATATAAAAAATATTATGAATAATATTATTTAATGTGCAATATTCTTTTTATAATCTGTACCTACCTTTGTCTATTACTGATACCACTGTACCACAGTATGGTAAACACTCGAGTTGTAAGTAGGTGCTACTTATGAATTCAAAGCATGGTGATTTTATTACAAATTGTTCTTCTATATTTAGCCTCTATTGTCTTTGCTGTTTTGTTGATATGTATAATGAATGACAATGATCAGTTTATTTTATTGATATAGTGCTATAATTAGGAGTCTATTGAAGATTATCTAATTTTCAATTTTTTTTTTGTTAAAAATTGTTTTTAATTCTTTGTTGTACCAGTGATAACTAGTACTCTCAGCAATAGTGTCACTGTTTACCTATTGTTATGACCCCAAACGACGCTACTCGAGATCAGAACATCGTATTATATGGCTATGTAAAACTAAGTTTTCTACATGGTCTTCCTTGTAGAAAAAAAAAACAAATTAAACCTAATTTAGGATATTGTGCTGGAAAGACAATGTTGAGAATAATGACCCAAACATGTTTTTCCTTTATAATTGCAGATTCATATATTAGATCCCGTTCAAGGCTTTTAATATTAATGCATGATGTCACATTAGGCTAGAAAATTATTTTATAATTATGGTATTATGTATAGACAAGTAGCAAACTTCCTGATGTGTTCACATCATTGCACTGGATGGAGTAAGTTCGTGATGTAGGAGTTCGCGTGTATATGTATAAACTGTTGTTTAGTCTAGTGGATTTGCTTTTCCAACCATTTATCAAGTTGGCACTTAAAAATGTTCACTGATTTCGCAGTCGCTACACTTTCCAGAAGTTTGTTCCATATAACAACAATACGATTGTTCAGTGTTGCAATTTATAAAAACAATTGCTGCTAACAATTGGCAGTTGTTACCTAATTTATCTCCAAGATATTAGCAATTAGAAACACTTGCTTCTACTATATTGTTGCTATCATGCCTACATAAATTTCGCACATATTTACAAACACATGATTATACAATATTGTGTGTTTTGCCTAGATGTGCAAGAACAAAATGGGAATTTCGCTAACAACATCCTCTCAATAGGGTGAAGTTTGATAGTAGTTCTTCAGACATTGACATTCACATGGCTTGAATGTAGCCTGTACTGGAGTTTCATCATCATCAGCCTAACGCCGTCTAATTCCGAACGAAGGCCTTCCCAAAGAGTGCCCAACATCCCGGTCTGCATCGCATTGAGACATCTAACTTTAAATATTTTCTTTCACAGGTTATTGTCCAATCGATTGAGAAAAGCGATGACGATTCATCATTGAAGGTGCTTATCGAATTAGCGGAATCTGCACCTCAGTTTTTGCGACCCCAACTCGAGCCCTTTTCCACGTGTGCATAAAGGTTAGTGTCAAATATTTGGGGTATGGTATATACATCTATGTGTTGCAGAAAAGTCATTAAGTGTTGTTACTTATATGTAATAGAGTATTATTATAGATAATGCTTTCTTTCAATATAAATGTATATTAATATTTAAGTAATACTTTTAAAAGATCTATATCACGAAATATCTAGAAAAATGTTTGTTATAAAAACCCTGATAAATTATTAAGACTCCTTTCGTAACACTGAAACTTTTGTAGCAAGGACCGTTTTTAATTTAAAAATTGTAAATACTTTTGCAAATGCATTGAAGACATAACTTAGACATTACTTATAATAACGCTCATACAGATCGTAGGAGATAAAGACGCAGAAGATAACTGGCGTCAGCTGGCTCTAGAAGCGATGGTGACGTTGTGCGAGACGGCGCCAGCCATGGTACG